GAAAGAAAATCTTAACTATAGCCGCACTTCTGATATATTTTCACACTGTGATATTACTAGTAATCAGTTTGATATTCTTTCGCCCTGCGATAAATTATCACCTTTATTCAATAAAAATTGAGTTTTCGCTTTTCAAACTGTATTAAATGTAAGTGATAGAACACTTTTCTTGCTTTTATATTGTACTTTAATCATCTTGAAAATTTTTCTCATCTACTTTCAAAGCAAAAATTCCTGTAAATTTTCTTAAAAGGTACGTGTCCTTCTTTGTTGTTTATCATTGAATAAATTAAATTTAAATCCTCTATTCCTTTTAAATTGGATAAATTAATTACCTAACACTTCAAAGAAGGTTAATTTCAAAGTGATATCTTTAAACCTTGCTTGCTTTTGATGAAGTAAAAAAAATCTCATCACGCTGGCGAGCTTTCCTCCATCCTCTTAGTCGAAATATTGACAAATTCTAATCTTGTGAACTAACAGAAAATGAGAGCGAAAAAAATAGAAGGAATGAAGTCAGTTAAAATATTGTTAAGTGAAAGCAATGAAATAAGTAGTTCAACGAAAACTTTTACAAAAGATTTTTGGCCACCCAATAAGGTCATATATGCAATCAAAAATGGGTAACTTCTATTATATGGAAGTGGCATAACTTTGAGTTGAAATCGAAGATAATCTATAGATGTTGACTTCAAAATAATGAAGGTCTAGGAAAAATAATGAAAATGACAAGTACATGTTGTATTGGAGGGGGAAAAAGATTTGGTTTGAAATTTTCCATTCTAATACTAGTATGCGGAAGGCCATACGTGAATAGTGTTAATTTAGTTCACATTAAAAATTCGAAAACCTAAGATCTAATTCAAGAATATGAAATTGAGACAACTAAGATGTACTCAGCAAAATGAACGATACAAGCTATAAACCAAAATCAATAGATTTTGGGAACTTTCGAAAAACAAATTTGCAATTTTCGACTTTTTCCTTTTTAGTGAGAAGCAGTTTAGTGTGTATTAAGTGTGCAAATTTATTTTTTCCTATTATGAAATGTATGGATATAGTATTTCAGCTAAAAAGTCCATTCATACAAAACAAATTAGGAGCAGAGCAAACCCGGAACTCAAATTAAAATAATCATGGGTGGGATCAGGTGCCATGGAGGAGTGAGCATTCCCTACCGATTTATTACACCCGCCGTGTAATTCTTGTCATGATCGGCAAATAATGGTTATAATCCAGCAACAATTTAGTGTGCAAATAATGGAATTACAATCAGTAGGAAAAATGTCAGTATAGATTGTATACAAAGGAGATACTCCAGATTAAACACCCAAATTACCGTTTCAATACACCTCGAAATCCTTGTTTATCAATTTCTTTTAATATCATACATACATTGTACTAGTATATTAACGTATTTGTTAAATTTATGAAAATTTTTATGGGAAAGCCCCTTTAAAAAGTACATTTTGATACACTTTTATTGTATCAATAACAGTTTCTCAGTTTGTTAAAAATGCCTAATAGTTATCTACCTCTATTCTAGCGATGAAGTCTTTTGAAATACATTTTGCATCCTGCTCATTAAAATATTTTGCATCTTAATCATAATTATATTATCGAAAAGAAATAAAAGATAAACTATTTGTAACTTCATGCAATTGGCATGATGGAACATTTACAAAGTCAAAACCTGTCGAACAATCAATTATTGTCAAAGATTTTTGTGGGGGAAAGGAAACCAAAGTAAAGTGTTTTTTAAACAATTTTTATAATTTACTTTTTTTTCTAATGTCACCTTATGCCAGACGAAGGTCAAAATAAAATGAACATAGACGATTTATTGTCAAGGAATATTAATAATCTTTATTTCAACCTTTACCTAAGATGACAAATTGGTCTCGAAGTCTTAGTCATTCTGCTTTATGATCACTTATAAATATGTATCTATAAACTAGCAACAACCTGATGGGTCTTTTCTTTTAATGTCTAGGGAAAAATGTCATCATTTCTTACTATTTCACAGTATTTGAACGTTTGAAACCTTTCTAACATTTAATTCAATGTTAAAAATGATCTGAAATTTCATCTCATAAATATATATTTAAACAATTTTCATATACATTTTTAATTTGTTAGCTTAGTATTTTCTTCATCACTGTAATAATACTTTATGAATATCAATTTCAAATTGTGGCTATCAAAATATAAATCTAATTAAAACCAAAGCAACATACAATAAATAATGACTCTAACGATTTTATTTAAGACTATAATTTAAAATTTTGACTTTGTAACATGCGTTTTAAATGCAAGAGATGTCTTTAGAAGTCGAAATGATTAACGTTTATTTCAAGTTTTATAAGTCTTTGGTAGAAAATCTTAATTTCAGCGGGTTTTTTGTTTTAAGGACAGACGAGACGTTCCTCAATAATATATCATTTTTTCCAAGATTTTGTCTTGAAGAATTACTACTTTAACGTGTTTACTGACAAAAAATTGAGGTACCTTACCGGGCATTTGTGCGAGGTACCAGAGGATGGCATTTCTTATATAATCCTTTACTGAAAAATCTTAATTTGCCAAAATGACATTTTTATTGTTTCAAATTTTTAAAAACAATTAGAAACCGGTTTAGCAATCAGAAAGTAATTAAAATGTTGTATATTTTTCATACATTATGGAGATATACAGAACAGATTTTGGGGAACATCTCGTCTGACCTTAAAAATCCTTTCTGGTGTGGTTTATATAAGAAAAAATTAGTCTGCATTGGTTTAGGGTTTTGTGCAAATGAAAATTGAATTAAATCGTTCAATTGCATTTCGAGAGCAGGAAAATAAAAAAAAAAAGACTGTTCCAGTATACTGCAAATCCAACGGTAGTGCAGATGATGGAAAACGTTTCTCATTTTAGCAACTTGCAAGTAATAGCAAAGCATAGAGTATAAAGATGACGTATAACAACTTGAAAGTTGAAGGTGAACATGCTGATTGGACACTATTATATCTTTTGTCCAAATTTTCAAAATAATTTCAACATTTTTGTTTATTGATTAAATAATTCATGCTTTCTCCAAACATATGTGGAGTTCAAATAAATCAAATTAAAATTAAATACTGTATCTTTTTTTTACTTTCCTTACAAATCGTTCACAGCTTTTATTCATGTTGATAATTCTGTTATACGGAAAAATGTAAAGCAAAAAGCGACCAAAAGCTTCTTGGGCATTTTCTATGTTCATCTGTCATCAAAAATAACTTTTATACTTCTGTTTTAGAGAAGTGTGATAATGCATACAAGAAATCGAAGATAGCCTTAAGGTGTTGCCGAGCTAACGAGGGGTAGAGAATGAAAATGACGAGTCAGGGCTGAATCGGAGGGAATATAAGGAATTTAATTGACGATTTTCGTCTATAATCTGAGAGAAACTATATATGTTAGCTGTATAGAATAAACTGTTCAGAAATAATGGCGATAATGTTAATATTTTCCCTCTTAATTTTATCCAGGTGTTTTTTTTATATATATAATGGACACTCATTCAAGGCATAATTTCACGAAAACTAAGAAATCAGTGACAGGGATTTATCAGTAAGTTTCAATGTTGACTTTTTGGGTGGAGAATCAGGAAATATTATTGGTGACTTGACTTTTTGGTGGTGGATTTCATTTACCAGTGGCGACCTATTGATTTATTGAATATCTGGGTAAATGCAGGTATGAATAGTTTTCTTTCACTAAACTTCAGCATCATGAGGAAAATCAAAACTATATTCTACTGAGTATAGCAATATAAAATGTTCCAACTGTTTCTTTTCTCTGTCTATATCATTCAGTGTCTGAAAGATGAGCAACCATTTTAGCTTTAAGAATGACAGCAGAATGGTTTATTATCTTTCAGCCATTTTTACCACAGTCACTTTTCACCATTCGCCTCCATTTTTTAACTCTACATGCTGAGTAAAAAAGGGGTGGGTATAAGAATGAATGATATGCGCCAAAGAAAAGAAAACCACTGGAATCCTGTATATGTATTTTTTTGCTTAGAGAAAAATCTATATGTAGTTAAATGTGATCATCTATGAAAAAAAACCTTAATTTTGGATGACAGAGATTAAGATAAATATTGACTAACTTATTCCATAACTTAATAAAAAAGAACACTGTGCATTTTTTTTCAATTGTCTTTCATTTTATTCATCTTATATCAAGAGTTTTAAGACTCAAGGTGAATGGCTGACTAAAATGGTGTATATTCAATGTAATCTTACAATTTCCCTTTATAAAATAAGTAGGAGTTCAGATATAATTCTTTATCTTCAACTTTACATCCTTGTGAATGTAATTTTATGTGAACTTATTTATCACTTGAACAAATTCCAATCAATTCATATTCACTTTCATTAAATACCCCCTATACTGCTGTTTGTCACACAAAAGTAAAAGCAGGTATTACCTTTTCCCTAATCGGGTCAAAGAGTTTATAATTATGATGTCGTTATTCTCCTACATTCGGAAGTTCATTTCTTAAACATATCTTTGATACTTGCTTGTAATGGAATATCACAATGAATAAATGGTAATGAAGAAGTTGACATCAGTCGCCAGACAGCGATAAAAATCAGCCAAGTGTGTTTTGGTTATTTTTCTTTACTGGACATTATAAGAAATCTTTTGATTTTAACAACTACACGGAACACGAACTGAGTAGATAAAAAATCCTGGTAATTAGCACGCAGTAGTTATTGATTGGATGTTGTCATCACAGTGTTTGGAGTTCATTCAAGAAATTCGTACTATAAGAGATGCTGAATTATCCCATAATTCAAAGGCATGGCGACGCCCCTTTTCTGATGACGTCATGATAATAAGGAGGAGTCAGGGAAAGCGCTGTTCGATGGTGCTAACCGTTAACCAGCGTCATGAAAAAGAATGATCGTAGGTGGATAGATATATGAAAGGCAAAAAACAGACTTTGATAGAAAAAAGATTTCATTGAAACGATGTTTATACTAAACGTTAAGTCACAGGAGATAAAGAACTACTGATACAACTGTTAAAGCATTTTTAAAGTACAAAAGGAAATAGACCATCTAGAAAGGTATGGTAGTTTATCACATATAAATACAAGAAAAAACGTTTTATATTACAATTGTTATATGAATTAAACAGGTGGACTATATGTTTAGATAAATATGTTTAATATTCTGTATTTGAAAGGGGGAAAATAATGGTGCTGATGTCTTCAGTCAGCAAGGTTTTACACTTTCAATTTTCTCTTCAGCTGTAAAGTTCTGCCCTGGTATATCTAAGCGCAATCGCCTTTAATAAACATTTCGTACAGTTTTTATTTCTATAAAGGTAATTTAGATTCTTACAAAGATTTGAATTTTATTTTCTAAAGTTTATTATGTTTTTTCGCTACTTTTCCTGTTATGTCTCTTAGAAAGAATGAAGATTTAGTTAGAAGCTATAGAGTGTTTTTCGCTATTTCTTGTAGCAGGTGTATTCAATACAGGTGTATTTAAAGACGTGCGTGTCTGCTGCCTATTCTATTCTATTTACTGAATAAATGTTATTTAAAGCTAACTTTACTTATCCAAACATTTTATTAAAACATTTGCTCTTTTACTTTATTTTTTAAGTAAGTGTGTATTATCAACATTTCAAAGTTTCAGAAAAATTTGATTCTTTCTGGGTAATTGTATGCAACATTGCGTAAAATAAATTTGCAATATTATAAGACCTTGCCTTTTCGTTAAAGAGTCTTGACCAATTGGAACTATTCTAGATAAAAGACTTTTCATTGCCTTATTGTCTTACATTGTCTTAACTCAAAGAAGACAATTTGACTTCTAATTTTTCGTGTTTAAGGATTAAATACTAAATCAAGATGTAGGTGAAATAAGTTTCCTTTGGTTATGAACGATTTAATATGTATTGTCTATATACGACAGTAACTTAGCCTGTCTTTATATGGCAAACAAAATCGTTTCATGAAACTCGTTAAAGGGGAAAAAAAACTTTTGTCATAAAATATCTTATCAAATGCATCATGTTTGCAGGCTGTTCTGTTATCAGAAATATATTATTTAAAAAAAAAAACGGAAAAGTTTAGTTTCATTTTTTATTTCAAAATATTGGTTTTCTTGTTCGGAACAGCATAGACTTGCAGTGTAGCCATGTATCTTTAAAGACAAGGATGCTTTTTTTCACATAATTGTGTTTTAAATCCATCTTTCTAATATGATTTGTTTTATATTTAACATAATCGGGTGAGGTGTTTTCGAGACCAAAAGATAACTTCTGCTTAATTTGAAATTCCTTGATTGTTCTATTATTTAAACAGAATAGGAGGTAAGCTAGTTCTAACAAAGGACGAAAAATTATCGATTGCGTATTTAAAAGAAAGTTCCCGTTGCTATATTAATAATACCCACACCTTCTAAAGACCGATGGATTATATATTGTTTTACGTCTCAATTGAGAATTTTTCATTCATATAGAGACATCACCATATACCGGTGAAGGGCTTCAAATTTAGACCTTTACTCAGCACTCAGGGCCATTGAAAAGTGAGGGATCTCTATCGTACCAATTAGCGTCTGCTGTGACACGGAGCCTCTGTATAAAAATTTTAGAATGAAACTATCAAAAAAAGAAACAGTTGATAAAAGTTTTAAATTTATACAAAAGATTATTGAGAGAGTTCTCTCTTCTTGTTGAATGTTCCCCGTGCAATGTGCATTGTCTAATGTTTTTGTATTAAATATTGTTCTCTACAACTTTAACAAGTTTTACGAGATTAAAGTCATTGTCATTGTTATTAAGGTTATTAAGGCGTCATCCGAAGGAAGCGCAATTTTCATTTCAAGGTTTTGTGCGCTTGGCGAAGGAACAATTTCTACCCATTTTTATACTCCCCGCTTGAAAAGTGGAAGGGTAGATAGTGATCGGGATGTCCGTCCGTCGGTCTGTTACGCTTTGGGGTATCCATCTCTTATCCGCAATCCCCTTATACCACTCAATGAATTTTTATGAAACTTTCAAAGAATCTTCGTTACAAAGTGCAATTGTTCACCTCCTATTTTACTTTTTGATAGGACACATAGTTCAGGTTTCCCATAGCAAAACATGGACACTGCTATTCTTTCTATAATATTGAATGGTACCCATCTCTTATCTGCAACTCTTACTATACCACTGAATAAAATTTAATGATACATGTCCCTTCAAAGAATCGTGATGTCATGATGTCATTGTGCACCTCCTATTTTATATTTTGATCTGACACTTATTTCGTGTTTCGAAGAACAAAACATGGACTATGTGTTAAGCCATTATAATGGTAATGGAGGCGGGGTATAATTTAGTGAGCTCAATGCTCACAGTACCTGTAGTCTGTCGACTTAGGTCAGTCACGACCCTATGATCACAAAGCGAGGGCTCAATCTACTGAGTCACATTGGCAGCCACTTTCTTAATATTACTTACTTACTTAATCCTCTTCGTGCTGGTTAGCACATAAGGCCGTCACCAGAGACTTCCACGCTGGCCTGTCCTGTGTACATTCTTGGATCTGTCCCCATGTCCAGCTGTTCTTTCTCTACAGATCTTCTCCATGTTTCTTTTGGTCTTCCTCTCTTTCCTTTGCCAGATGGTGTCCATTTCAAAGCAACCCTTGGGATGGAAGTTGGGTGCATTCTACATACATGTTATATTTCCACTGCCATTTTCTTCTTTTTATAACAAAACAGATAGGGGGGTGGTGTTGGTCTTTTTGTACAGCTCTTCATTTGAGATGGTATTTGATCACAAAGCGAGGGCTAGTATCTACTCAGTTACAGGCAACGTTTCTTAATATACTTAGCTCTATTGTTGTTATCCGGATCCGTCCATCAGTCTCTTCTCTTCTTTTATTCATTTCTCTTACTCTTTAATCATTTAACAAATCATTTTGGAATAATAATTGTGGCCTCTTTGCTATTTATCCAACTAAGAAGGAAGGTATATATATCAAGAGACAATCTCTTACGTATTGGTATTACTGGTTCGTGATAGAAAGAAGACATAGTCTAAATATTAATGTGGTGTTACAGATTTATAAATCATAAAAGACAGGGAATAGGACAATAGCCCCTATTATATATCTTCAATTTCTACAAAAAGTCCAAGCTTTAAGTGTTTATTAACACTGTTATCCTTTCAAACAATCTTCCTTTAATTACTCTTACAATTTCATCAACATATTCATAATACAGAATATGAGGTGTTGTCATGTAGATGTGAAATAAAGTTTCAGAATTTCTTTTTCATATTCAAGGCTAAATGAGAGTTGTAAAGGGTTTTTTCCATAAAAACCTGGTTTCCAAAACGCTTTTTAGCCTATACGCAGTATAGCCAAATAATCCTGTCCACGTTAATCGATGATATCTTGCAGATTACAATAAGGTGTCGAAATTTTCATTTTTACTCTGGGTTTAATATGGGTGATGGGGTTTTAAAAAATGGCTTCTTTTCTTTCTTTTCTTACAGAAACTTAGTTCCAATTGCAAGATATCATGCATTTTAAGAAAATTCTTTTTGGAATATGTGAGGTTGTTCCTTTAAATGTGCAATAAGGCTTTAGAATTTTGAATTTTGATGTTCACTCATTTCACAAAAAAAATTGTTTTCAGAATTACCTTTACATTTTACGCAATAGCTATTTTATCTTTTGCAAAATAATTGGGTTTGTCCCACAGACATGCAATACGGTATCGGAATTTTCATTTTCAGCTTAGGTGTCTAAAGGGATCAAAAAGGAATTTTCACAAAAAATTGTTTTACAGATCTCCACAAACATTTTACACAGAAGCCTTCCTAATTTTTCAAGATGCTTTGGTGAAGGGGGTGTTCTGTAGACGTGCAATAAGGTTTTTGGAATTTTCATTTTCACTTTTGTGCCAAATAGGGTCGAAAATGACAATTTCAAGTTTCATGTTTCTTTTCCTTCCTTTTTCCTTTACAACAAATAAGAAGTAACAAAATCATCTTTTTTGGACAATGATTGATGGTGACATGCATTACGGCAATAAAGAGTGACTTTTAATTTTTACGGAAACCTGGTTCCAAGAAATCCTGTTGCATTTTGACGAGTAGCTTATTTATCCTTTGGAAAATAAAAGATGGTGTGCAATAATGTTTCATGATCAGTCTTTTTCATTGGGGCGTCTATTTGATTGGGATGTTCTGCAGTTGTGCAATTAGGTTTCGAGATTTTCAGTTTCAACATTAAGGGTTAAACCGATGGTTTTTTTTTTCAAAGAATGAAACCGTTCACGGTAGCTCAGTCGGTAGAGCGCTCGCTCCGTGATCAGGAGGTCTTGAGTTCGCATCTCGACGGCGACTGACCCAGTTGATAAAATGGGTAGTAACTGTTCCTTCGCCATGCGCTCGGCACTTTGAAGTGAAAGTTGCGGGTCATTCGGATGAGACCTTAAAAACCGAGGCCCCGTGTCAGCGGCAGGCGTTGGCACGATAAAGATCCCTTACTGCTCAATGGCACTGATTGCCGAGTAAAGGTCAATTTTTGAAATTTTGACGTCTCCATATGAGTGAGAAATTCTCGAGAAGGACGTTGAACAATATACAATCAATCAATCAAAGAATGAAAGCGTTGTTTCCTTGCAAACTCCTCCTACATTTTAAAGGATTTTTTGTTTAAAAATCTGGTTCCTAGAGCTCATCTTCTATTTTAAGCAGTAACCATCACATCTTTAGCAATTGAAGGTGATTGGGGGCATACTGCAGGTGTGTTTTAAGGCTTTTTGATTTAATTGTTCATTCTGGGACGTGTTCAGGCTAAAAATTGGACTTTTAATTATTCATTCAAGTTTTAAAAGGACGAAGAAAGATAATTCAATCATGGACCTATGTATATTTTAAATTGATATGACATTTTAAAAAAAGAAACATACGGAGTTTCTAGACATAAAGGGTCTTCAGTACCAAGTGATATTATTTTTATTTTGGAAACAATCATGATGTAATCTTGATCTATTTTATTGAAAGTCTCATTCCAGTTCAAAAATTTATACTTAAAATTTTCTTTTTTATTAA